TTCCTGCTTTCTTTGTTTCTCTTTTCTTTCTTTTTTGGTCTGCGATTATTTAGGGATGTAGTATTTAACTTCTATATGTATATGGGTTTTTCCAGATATTCTATTGTAATTGATTTCTAACTTAATTCCATTTTAGTTAGAGAACATACTCCATAGCATTAGAAAGTTTGCCTTCGGGGACACCTGTTTTATGGTCCAGTATATGGTCTATCTTGGTGAAAAGAAGTCTTGAAGTCATTGTGCGTAATGTTCTATCGCATCGATGTGGTGAAGGTGACTGGTACTGCAGTTCAGACCTTCTATGTCTTCATGGTTGGTTTACCTGGTCTATTAATTGCTAAAAGAGAGGCATTACATCATCAAATATGAAGGCCTACTTTCCCTTTAAATTTATGAATTTTTTAATTTGTAGTTTTAAGCTCTTCTTAGGCATATTCACTTCTATGATTGCTATGTCTTCCTGAAGAGTTTGTGGTTTTATTATTATGAAATCCTCTTTATCTCTGCTAATCCTCTTCATCTTGAAGTTTACTTTGACAGTAAGAGCCATTCCTATCCTTTTATGATGTTTGCAAGACATATATGTTCCTTTCATTTATATCCATTTGCCCATCTACATTATTGTATTTCAAGAATACTTCCTATAGAAAGTGTACAGTTAGATCTTACATTCTTATTCTGAAAAATCCCTGAACTTTGTTGGATTTTTTAGTCAATTTACTTGACTACAGTTACTGAAGAGTTTGATTTTGTCCTTCAATTTGCTGTTTACTCCACCTGATTTTCCTCGTCTGTTTTGCCTTTCATGTCTTATTTCGAGTTAAAAGTATATGGATATAGGTGTGATAGCAGCCATGAGGTTAAAAGATGCTTGCTCCTTGGAAGAAAATCTGACAAATCTAGACAGTGCATTAAAAAGCAGAGACATCGCTTTGCCAACAAAGGTCTCTATAGTCAATGCTATGATTTTTCCAGTAGTCATGTATGGCTGTGAGAGCTGGACCATAAAGAAGACTGAACACTGAAGAATTGATGCTTTTGGACTGTGGTGTTGGAGAAGACTCTTGAGAGTCCCTTGGGCTGCAAGATCAAACCTGTCAATCCTAAAGGAAATCAACTCTGAATATTCATTGGAAGGACTGATGCTGAAGCTCCAATACTTTGGCCAGCTGACTCACTGGAAAATACCTTGACGCTGAGGGCAGGAGGAGAAGAGGGCAACAGAGGATGAGATAGCTGGCTGGTACCACCAATTCAATGTACATGAGTGTGAGCAAACTCCAGGAGATGGTGAAGCACAAGGAAGCCTGGAGTACTGCAGTCCATGGGATTGCAGCTGAGAGGCTGGGTACGACTGAGAGGCCGAACCACAGCACTGTGGTTGCTCCAGGGCTCCCCGGGTGCGCTGTCGTAAAGAACACACCTGCCAGTGTGGGAGCTGCAGGAGAGGTGGGTTTGATCCCTGGGTCCGGATAGTCCCTGGAGAAAGAAATGGGAACCCACTGCAGTATTCTGGCCTGGAGAAGCCATGGACAGAGGAGCCTGGTGGGCTGCCGTCCGTGGGGTCACAGAGAATGAGACGCGGCTGAAACACTTAACATGTGCGTTTTGTGCTACAGCTATCATATGCCTTTCTACACATGTTTTAAATACCGTAATACAATAGTGCAACGTTTGCTTTAAACAACCATGTGTGTTAAAGAAATAGAGAAGAAAGTAATATGTTTATCCACGTATTTTCTCCTTAGTCTTTCCTAAAGATTCAAGTTTCCATTCTGTAGAATTTCTGTTTAGCCTGAAGAATTCAGTATAGAGTACACATGTGAAAATACATAGGCTGGTATATTTACATATTTTGATAAAAAGTTAGACATGAGAATATCTACATTTGAAAAAGAAATGATAGGAGCTTACCAGATACCTCAGTACTCATAGAGAAAATATTTTCTCAGTATAAAATATTATGGTATAGAAAAGAAGGGTCATTTAAATTTTTATCACTTTCAAGTGTATTACCCATAAAATTCACTTTTGAAAAAGAAATTATATAGACACTGTTTCACAAATATTAAAATCTAAACCACATCAAAAATACATTCTTCAGAAAAATACTAGTGGGATATATTTGACAGATACAGCTAAGAAATAGATCAATGCACATGGATACATATCAAACTTACTGTTTGATTTTAAAATTAAAATAACCAACATAAACGTCTCAAGTTGTACTTTAATGATCAAAAATATATGCTGTTTTTTGAAATGAATTTTATTTTTTAAATGATGTTTGAATAGAATTATTATAGCTAAACCAATTAATTTGTGTATATATATATATGTATGCATATATATGGATATATGGATATATACCTGTGTCCATATACACATATTTATATTGAGTACATGCATATTTGTATACACATGTATATACACACATACATAAATATTTTCTTTGTAAAAGCAGTCCATGGGGTCACAAAGAGCAGAACATGACTGGGCCACTGAACAATAACAACAAATGCCATGTACATATGATTTAAAAAAATTATTTGTCTTGTTCCCTACCACTTATCCTCAAATGTGTCCTAGTTTTACTGACGAATGATATGACAACCTTACCTTTAGATTACCAGGAACCACAGGAAGGAGATTTTTCACAATTGCTCCCATGCACAAGTGCTGTCTATTGCAGCAGAAAGAGGGAATTCTAGTTTGGGCCAAGGTCCCACGCCAGGGCTGAGCAGAGCGGAGCGAGACCGTGTGGGCCGTCCCGACCCCCGCGGGCCCCAGGACCCCCAGGACCCCCAAGGCCAGGGCCGTGCCTGTGGGATGAGGTCCTGGGCGCAGGTCTCAGGGCACGCCCCTAACGGACGGCTTTGCTGGGCCCACATTCTTCTTGCCCAGGCCTGGAGCAGGCCTCCAGGGAAGAGCTGTCCTGAGCTCCTTGCGCCTGGCACGCCGTAAGCTCCAGGGAGGGGGAGGCCCCAAAGCGGGCAAAACCCCCCACGGGATCGGAAAGGGCCGCTCTGCGAGGACCCAGTAGCCCGCGCTGGTGGGCTGCTGGGGGCTTCGTTCCTGGCTTCTCTTGTTTCTTCCTGCCGTGGGGCGGGGAGAGGGCAGGAAGAGGCTGAAGGCCAGGGAAGCCGGCCCCGGCTCTTCGCAGCCTGCTTGTCGCCGCTTGTCAGCAGCTAATTTGTCTTGTGTGCATAAACGCTACACTCTGTCACTTCAGTCATGTCCGAGTCTGTGACCCCATGGACTGTAGCCCGCCAGGCTCCTCTCTCCATGGGATTCTCCCGGAAGAATACTGGAGTGGGTTGCCATTTCCTACTCCAGGGAATCTTCTGGACCCAGGGTTCAAACCTGCTGCTCCTGCATTGCAGGTGGATTCTTTACCCACTGAGCCACCTGGGAAGCCCTAAGTTCTTATGTATCTCTTTTAATTTGAAATATCAGTTAATATTTATGAACTTTTTTTAATGAAAAGACTGCATTTTCAGCAGTTTCAGTTTGCATAAAAATTAGGCAGAAAGTACAGAGTTCCTATAAACTTGCTCACACCGTTTCTCAGTCGTTAACATCTTGCACAAATGTGGTGTGCTTGTGACAACAAGCCAAACAAGTGTTGATGTACTATTAGTGACTGAAGTCCACAGCTGACATAAGGTTCCCCTTCTGGGTGGTTCAGACGGTAAGGAATCTGCCTGCAATGCAGGAGACCTGGGTTCAACTCCTGGATCAGGAAGATCCCCTGGAGAAGCAAATGACAACCCACTCCAGGACTCTTGCCTGGAGAATCCCATGGACGGAGGAGCCTGGTGGGCTATACGGTCCATGAGCTCACAAAGTGTCGGACATGACTGAGTGGCTAACACTTCCACTTTGCTGTGCGTTTGGACTTGCTCATAGAGACGTGAGCCCAGCACAGACTATCACACTGATGATTTTTGCTACCTAAAAGCCCGCTGGACTTTAACTGATCTCCCCTCCCTCTCTTGTTTAAACGGCTGGTGTTTTTACCGTCTCCATGTTTTGCCTTTCCCAGGATGTCGTAGACCTACAATCATACCGTAAGTAGCATTTTCAGGGTGGTTTCTTTCACTTAGCAACATGCTTTTAAGGTCTTTGATGCCTTTCTGTGCCTCAGAGCTCTCTGCTTTCTGTAGTTGAGGTTCATGCATCTTTTCCTGTGTGAAGGAGCTGTATGATTTGCCTGACACCATCACCACTTTGACAACTGCTCAGTCAGGAAGTGCTTTTCATTCTGCTCATAACCCAAGTAGAGGGGCACCCCTGCCATCCCGTTACGGACGTGAGTAGAGAAGCCGTGTGCCCGGAGCCCTGCAGCTGTTATTTCCGATTCCAGGAGCCCACACCAGGTATCAATGATGCTGTATGTTAGGCTTCACAAGTGAGGCCTGTGACTCAGTTTCCTGTCTGCGAAGTGGGCATGAGGACCTGTCTTCCTTCTTATTCAGCGAAAGTGAACGTGTTAGTCGCTCAGCCATGTCCGACTCTCTGAGACCCCATGGACTAGAGAGGCCAGGCTCCTCTGTCCGTGGAATTCTCCAGAAAAGAATACTGGAGTGGGTAGCCATGCCCTCCTCCAGGGGATCTTCTGGACCCAAGGATCAAACCCAGGTCTCCTGCACTTTTACCACCTGAACCACCGGGGAAGTCCTTCCTTATTCAGGCAGGTGCCCCGAGAAGAGCAAAGATCTTCTTGGTTACGAGAGCTGTTTGCAATTTATGGAGTTCTAAACAAACGCGAGCCGAGGTTGTTCCGTGTGAGATATTTCCTGTCCATGACTCACAGCTGAATAATACTCAGCATTCTCTCCACATTTATGAGTATCGCAGGCATAACTCATGAAATTGCAAACACAAGGCCTTTGGGTGTCTGTCAGTCCACGGTGGAGCCCGTGAGGTTGATGGATCACTCGGGAGAAAGTTGTTTGGGTCCCTTCCTGCTGTGAGGTGAGCTTTAGGGAAATGATGATTCAAGGCATGGTCCATCTGCCGAGGCCATAAATTCTCAGGCGAATTTCCGAGAACTTGGAGGCACATTTGTAAATAGACGAGACTGAAAAGGAAACCCGGGTCCCGCTCACTGGTAGACCAATGCCTCTCTGCAGACTGTCGAACCACGCGCAGGCCTGCCTGGATTTACAGCCATCAGACCGGGCCTTGGGCCCTGCAGACAGGGGTGACGGCACTTTCTCATCCCAGGACTGCTCAGTGTCCTGGGCGCGTCACCACTCAGCCTGTATCAGCTATCGATGGCTTACATCACTCACACCTGGACCTCAGCAGCTACAAAAACTCAGGATGCTTGACTCCCAGCTTGGGGTAGTGATCCTCCTGTGCATCTCACCTGGGACCATTCCAGTGGAACCTGGAGCCGGCCAGTCACTGAGGGCTGCGTTCCACGGGGGCACTGGTCTACCCTTCTCTCTCCACGTGGCCTCTCACCCTCTAGGAGATGGAGAGCGAACACACAGTGGGATGGCAGAGGGTTCGGAGACAAGGAGAGAACCATGAAGCCAGAGGCCAGGCCTGTGAGCTGCAGTCTCCTCCCTCCTGCCACATTCTTTCCGTCCCAGCAGAATCCCACGGCCGCTCCGTCCACAGAGAAGCACCCTCCAGGGCAGCGGCTGCGGGTGGGCCCTCTTCCTCCAGTCACCCTCAAGCTGAAAAGGCCAGCCACCTGCCTGGCCCCTGCCACAGGCAGTGCTGAGACGCATAGGATGGGTGGGGGCGTCATCATGACAGACCCTTCCATTCACAGAGAGGAAGACAGCAGGAAGCAATCACCACCCAGGGCAATCCCAAACTCTTCCAGACTCACATTGTAGGCCCTGCATCCTTCTGAGGGTCTAGTCCTGCTCCCAGGGGAGCAGTGCCCTGACCCTGTCTTTCCCGTGGGCCTTGGCCCAGCCCCCGAGATGCCCTAGTTAAGAGGAAACTGCCTAAAGACGATATGGTGCAGACATGCAATGGAATACTACTCAGGCATAAAAAGAATGAAATAATGCCATTTTCAGCAACATGTATGGACCTGGAGATTGTCATACTTGATGATGTAAGTCAGAGAGAGAAAGGTGAATATATCATGTGATATCACTTAAATGTGGAATCTATAAAAATGATATAAATGAACTTATTTACAAAACAAAATTGGGCTCACAGATACAGAAAACAAACTTAAGTTTAGCAAAGGGGAAAAGTTGGGGAAAGGGATAAATTAAGAATTTGGGATTAACAGATAGACACTATTGTTTGTTATTGTTCAGTCACTAAGTCATCTCCAACTCTGCGACCCCATGGACTGTAGCATGCCAAGCCTCCCTGTCCTTCACTATCTTCCCAAGTTTGTCCAAGTTCATGTCCATGCATGTTCCTCTGTCCATGGGATTCTCCAGGCAAGAATCCTGGAGTGGGTTGCCATGCCTTCCTCCTGGGTATCTTTTCAACACAGCGATCGAACCCGGGTCTCTCACATTGCAGGCGGATTCTTTACCATCTAAGCCACAAGGGAAGCCCTTATATACATTACTATTTACCATATTCACTGTCTCCCAGAGTTTGCTCAAAGTCATGCCCACTGAGTCGGTGATGCCATCCAACCATCTCATCCTCTGTCGTCCCATTTGCCTCCTGCCCTCAACCTTTACCAGCATCAGGGTCTTTTCTAGTGAATCAGCTCTTAGCATCATGTGCCCAAAGAACTGGAGCTTCACCTTCAGCATCAGTCCTTCCAATGAATATTCAGGGTTGATCTCCTTTAGGATTGTCTGGTTTGACCTCCTTGCAGTCCAAGGGACTCTCGAGAGTCTTCTTCATCACCACAGTTCGAAAGCATCAACTCTTCACTGCTCATAGATAGATAAAATGTATCCACATACCTAGTTTTTCAGTAGCACCAGTGAAGAATCTGAAGTCAGAGCTCCTAAAACACTCCCATCTCAACTTCCAGCCCCCCTGATCCCACCAGTAACCTTGATGTCTCAGGGTCAAGGAGCTGACAGATCACATCTGTGTTCAGGGAGACGGCTTGTTAATATGCACATATAATACACAAAGCGGGGATGGTGGGGCGTCACTGATCCGTGAGTGTTTGCTGGAGACATTAGTAATTACAGCATCACTGGTGTGACAGTGAAATGCTGTTTTCCCTTTATTGTAATTAACTGATAGTGGTGACAATCCCCAGTCCTGTGTTTATGTGACATGGAGCGTATAAGAACTCCCAGAACTTTGCAAACAGTTTACTCATCTGTGCAGCTCGCAGAGCCGTGGGTGGGGGGAGGCACTGGCGGTACTCACTCGAGAGTCTGGCAGGAAAGCAAGACGGGATGGAGACTCGGCTCCGGCTCACCCCCGTGGCTTCGGGGAGGCATCGGTCTTCTCAGAACCTCAGCGTCACCTCCTATAAAATCAAAGGGTTGCACGCCGTGCTTAGGACAACCTCTCCTGGACATGATCTTGTGTAAGAGACTGAATAAATCGGAACGCACAGACACCTGTGGTCTTAACTATATGGAAGTCTCAGACTGAAGGATCTGACAAATGAAAGCAGTGAATAAATGCATCAAGCACCATTGCCATGACAGGTTCCTGACCTGTAAAGTGGGTCTTTTAATGAGCTTTCTGGGAAGCTTTCTTTCCAGGTATTTAGACCATTACACAAGTAGAGAAAATCAAATTTTTTGTTAACTGAAAGCAAAATGGGATAAAACTATCACAGAACTTCTTTTGCTTCTCGTGAAAAAGATGGGGTGCAAGAGGCCAAGACTTAGTTGGGGTCCCCAGTGGGTCTGGACCACCTAAACTTTTGGAGAGTTCTGACATTCAATGAAATGAAATCTTCAAAGCCCCTAGTTCAGGGCCAGACGTGTTAAACATGAACATGGAGACAGCTGAGTTTAGACTCACACCCGGCTCCTCCAGCAACGACTGGCCGACTGCTGCCTGGGAAAGAGGGTGGATTCTGTCGGGTCGCCAGGGCTCCCTGATAGCGAGCCTGGAGCCCTGCTGCGCTCATCCTCTTGGTGGCCCAGCAATCGGTGATGTTGCCAGGTCTCCCCTCAATATAAGCAGAGACCTCAGGGCAGGAGGAAGTGAAACCCATTGTCTGAGGCCACTCCCTGGGAAGGAGCAGACTGGACAGTCACCCGTGTCCACTGACACCCGTGCTCTGGACAGTCACAGCCTGTCACCTGGGGGCTCAGAGCTGTGCTCACGCGACCTGCTGGGCCCAGAGCTGTGCCAAGTTCAGTCGGGAAGAGCAGGAAATTTCTGACCCTCCCCCAGGAAGAGGGTCCGTTACAGCATCACCACCAGCTACAGGAATGTTTCCCTTTATTTAATCCCAAATACCTCCCTTTGACAGCTTGTCATCGCACACGTGTGTGGAAAACACACCTCCTCGGAAGCTCCTCCCTCCTGTGGCTCGAGCTGTGATCAGAAGGAGATGACAGAGACAAGATAGAAAGGGTCTACTTGAGAAAATGCAGTGTTTTAAAGGCAGTGTGTCCTCAGTCTGAAAATTTGACATTTGAAAGCCATCTTCGATTTTTCTGAAAGAAAATAAAGGTCTATTCTAGCCCATGGAGCACACGTATAACACGAGGAGAGCGCTGTCTAGAGAAAGTAACACTTTCAGTTTCTCTCTTTGAGAAGTTGACTTTGCAAGAGAAAAAAAAAGTAAGATTCTGTCCCACGAGACACCGGAGCATTGGAAGAGAGGGCAAGGTGGTGGGGTCCAGCTCGGCCTGCCCCCAAGTCCCCTGCCCTCCCTGGCCTCACTTGCAGATGCTGGGTCCCCAGGGTCAAGGAGAAGGGGGACCTCATAGAAATGATGCTGCGGGTTTTAAAGTTTTGATCTAAGTGGGCTCGTTATGCGCAGAGACCCAGGAGGCCCCACCAGGCCTCGTGGGCTGTGCCCTGCCCCGCGGGCCGGGGCAGGCGGCGCTGGGGTCAGTGGCCGGACTCTTGGTCTCTCCCTGACCTCCCATGCAGCTGCGGGCTGAGCAGGCAGGGATAACCGATATGCCTGGGGAAGGCTGGAGGGAAGGAGGAGAGGTCACTTCATGGCGAGGCCCCCAGCCAGGATGGGTAAGTGGACGGCTGGAGCAGAGCAGCCGCAGTGCTAGAGTGATTCCACTCATCTCTGCCGGGGCTGCAAGGCACAGACCCCTTCCCCTGGGACCTGTGCCCCTCGGTGGGCAGGCAGGATGGTGATCCTTGCTATGACAGAGACAGCAGCAGGCCCAGAAAGCAGGAGAGCCTCCCAAGGAGGCCAGGCCAGGGTTCACCAGGCAGATGGCAGGTTGGTGGTGGAGGTGGGGTGATGCATCTGAGGCTGATCCAGAGAGCCCCACCTTTACACAGGCAGCCTGGGGTCAGAACTACGCGGAGCTGGAGCCAGGCCCACACCCTGTCCGCAGACCCCGGCTCACACCCTAGGGCATCACGGGGTCACCAGAGAAAGGATCCAACCCCACCAGGCCTGGGGGCAGTTATGAGGCTGGTGGTCTGAACTCTGGATCAAACCCAAGTGCCTGGCATTCCACCTGCCAAACTGCCTGGGGTGCAGTGAGTGAGGGGAAGGGATATGTCCCCACACAGGGGCCCGCACGAGGGTCACCTTCAGAGACCCAGGCAGAGGCAGAGCCGAGTTGGCTGAGTCACAGGTCCTGGACGGGCCATCTGCCTGAAGTGACATATGGCAGGGTCTTTGTGACTTGCAGACCCACGGCTGGGAATGTTCACAAGCTTGCCGGGAGCAGGGCGGCTTCCTGGAGTCATGGCACGGGTTTGCGGTTGCTCTCTGCCGTGTTTTCTGTTGGCTCTGGTTTTGCTTCTAATTTTAGCTTCTCTAGTGGTCCCGTCCAGGGACAAGTCCTGGCACAGTGAGGATGCAGGGGCTGTCCTGCCTCTTCTGATGGCCTGAGACCACCTGCCCACAGACTCTGCAGGTTTGGACCAGAGAGGCTTTGCAAGGCTTCTCTCCCAATTCCTGTGAAGGAGAGGAAGAACCGTGCCCCGGGGTCCTCGAGAGGGCGAGGAGCCAGCCCTGCACCAGGGTGACGGTGTGTCTTTGAAGAGGCTTCGGGTTTGGGAGTGGGTCTGCCCAACCTTGGGCCCTCCTTAGCCTCTCCCACTCACAGCCCCTGCCTCCAGCCCCCCAGC